TAATGCTCTGGCACCATATTGCAGTGTAATTCCATCGCACCTAATCCTACTGACACTGCATCGCATATCTCGGGGTGATAGAACATCGGATAGGCCCATCCGATACAAATATCTTGGCAGTGTGTATATCAATACTCATAGCTAAAAATGGATATAAAATTCATCCTGAGTGCATGTCACTCCTAATCATACCCAAAGGTGATGTGGGTAAAATCCTCATGATATGAACTGAAAAATTGGGAGGAAAGAACTGGAAAGTCAAAAAAAATGTTTGATGTGGAGAGCTAGATGGAAATGGAGGTTGACAAAAACATGATACCTTGATACTTGTCAAAGTTAGTCTTATCTGAGAAGCCAAACCTGGACTTATTCTCAGAGTAATTCTAACTTTGGGTACTTTTAAATATTTAACAAGTCTTACTAAGACTTACTTAAATAGACAAAAGCACAACAAGCAGTGACACTGCCAACATATTTTCATTGCATGGAAGCTTGCTATGTAACACAGCATGTCTTCATGTGATACTATGGACCATTTTTCAAGGTCCCTACCTTGGAAAATAGACCTATTGCATCGCATCTTGGCCTGCTATGTGACATAGCATTCCTTTATGCGATGCAATTTTCTTGGCGGTGACTGTATGTAAAAAATGCACAAATTTTAGTCTTGAGATAATATGGTTTCCCCATATTATGCCATGGCTGACAATACTGTTGAATACAAAGCAGCCAGAGATAGTAATTGGATTGACATTGAGCATAGTGCAGGGAAAGATTGATAGGAGCACCAAAGGAGTCTCAGTTTTCCATAAGGTTCTTTGTGAGAGAGCCTGTCAAGTTATAGTAATGCTTTTAGTGGTTCTTGGGATGATATTGGCACTCTCTTCATGCTGGTATGTCTTGATGCATGTACATCACATATTCAGGGGTAGATCCAATAGAGAGCAATAGTGAAAAGAGAGGATGTTTTCAGACATGTGGTTGAGTATGACTGAAAGTGTTTCTTGTATGTTGTCAGCTCTGAGACCTACCTGGTAGTCCTGCAGGCTAGCAAACAGCATAGTCACACATGGTAACCACATGTAATCCAATAAAGAACACATGTAAAATCAAATCTACATATGTAATACATTAAGTTACATATGTAATATATTAAGTTACATATGAGCAACATATGTAATGTATCAAGTTATGTATGGTAAGTATATGTGATATGTCAAGTTACATATGGTGAAATTATATAATGTATCAAGTATATATAAAGAGCATATGTAACAAAAAAATAGTCACAACTAAGGCTCAGTATCAAGAGCCATAAACATGTACACTTATGATAAGGCCTACATGTTAGGTCTTGTAACTAGTACAAGAACCACAACTGGGTGCAGCATGACCAGAACTAATAGCTGAAACATAGCATCCTTGTATTGAGGGAAGAACAGGTATATGAACCCTTCCTCCTTGAGAAATAAAGCCCTGGTTTCTCCCTCAACCTTTTACCACATACCAAAAACTGAACACCACACTATTGAGGATATGTCCTATAGAACATCTACTCAAAAGTGTACTGCCCATTAGGTAAGTAACTAGGTCAGGGTAGTAGAAGCCTTTCTTGCTATACCCTCCACTAGTTGAGAATTAGCTATGAAGTAGAGATAAAGCACTCAGATTAGAGGGAGTCATAAAAGTCAGACTCAATTACAACATCTAATCTTCTATGAGGTAACTCTATTCAAAGAGCCCTTCAAAAGGATCTACAAGGAAGCCTATTCAAAGGCCCCTTCAAAGATAGTTTCCTGGTATCAAATCCTCTTTTGAGAGGTCCTTTAACTGAAGTCTTTACTTGTTTATTGTAGTACAGACTCAGCTTGGTACCCATATTTCCATGACATAGTAAAAAGGAAAGCTTAGAAAAAGGCCTTCCCCTCACATATGTTGACCAGGATGTGTGATTGAGAGAAGAGTGATTTGTGTGATTGAGCTTTGTGTATTTCCTTTTTCCTTTTTCAGCAGTCTTGGTGTTGGGGCAGATATCTAATTAGTTATAAGGGACACATGTTGATGCCTCCAATTCTTGCTCTTTCTCATCAACTAGAGAATCAAAGGTAAATCTTTCCCTACTGATTTTTTATCTTCAAAATATATATTTGAAGTCCTGACTCTGTTATTACTTTTTTCATTCTCTCTGTTTTATACCTGCTTTTGCAGGTCAGCCTCTTTATTTTTGAGCCTTTGCCTCAACACACCTTTGCTCACTTTTCTCAAATGGCCTGCTTGTATGAGGTCACACTCAGAGCACCCTGCAAACTTTTGAGTCTTTACAGAGACAACATATATGACCCCACTACAACTGTTTCCTGGAACAGGAGGTGTGCAGAATGAGCTTCACTTGCCTCCAAAACATCATACCCACATGGTATCAAACAATAAATTGGTCAGCTCAATTTGCAGGGGGTGGCTTCTGTCAGGCTACCTACCTGATCAATTATTGCAAGTGAAGGATTTTCAAGACCTAAATAGGCAATCTTGCTAGCAGTATTGAGAACTGCCAAGTAATGACTTCAGTTAGTTGACCTCAAGCATTGAGGATTTATAGAACTGCATCTGGTAATTATGATCTTCACTCAGGGATCAGAGTTACAGTTGGGCACTGGTAACACTCCACTTTGATCCTTCTTTTACAAGCCAGGGTGCTCTTTTCCTGCTTGGGTGATTCTTCTGCTCCAAGCCTTGTGAGTCTTCACAAAAAAGGGTAGTAACAAGCAGGGTCTACCAACCTATGGGATGTCCCCTTATATACTAATATCTACTGCACCTAGCATGCTTGTGTAGATAACTTAGTAAAAGTATCCCCAAAGGTGTGCTAGTGAAGCTGTTTAGGCATTTCTAGTGAAAAGTAAGGAGGGAAAACACCCCTGGCGGAGAGGGGGGGTTTTGATACCCTGATCTCATATTTTTCCCTCATTATTGATTTATTGGTCCAATTGTGGTTTTAAGGTTGCCATGGAGACCTTTGGTCAACTTGTGGTTGAATACTTATTACAAGGTTGTGTATCCCTTCTTGTCATAGGTACATATACATATGGCTCTTGAAACTGAACCTCAAGAATCATGCAAAAGCTCAGGGCATTCAAAAGTTTGAAGGCAAGTCCCCAAGATCTTTGATTTGGGAGTTGATTCCTTTTCTTTCAAACAATCCAAAGAGGCAAGGGTGGTGAACCAAGGGGAAGGCCAACTTGACATCTGCAAACAGAGTCAACACTGAGACAGCTATGCTAATCTATGTTACCAGATACTTAGAGGGTATCATAGCTGTCATCAGTCAACAGGATTTTTCCCATCATGCTAGCATAGCTAGCTTTTTCAATGCTACCCTACACTACAGGGCCAAAATCCCTGTAGAGGGTATTTTTCCATGGTCTGTGATAACAAACCAGTAATTTGATCCATTACACTATTCAATAGGGATCAGCTACGGATAAAGTAACTGTCTCAGGGTTGACAGAGTGCCTACAACCCATCTCCTTTGCCCATTTGCACTTGAAACCATGCTGTGGGTTGAACCAAAGATTGTTCCTGGGTAGGGCAAAAAGAAGCTTTCCGAGTACGGGAGTCGAACCCGTCTCTTTCGCGCACTCGAAGCTTCTTAAGTGAGAGGCGAACATACTAGCCGATATACGAACTCGGATATTATCCGGCCAGGCCCCATTATGATATTTCACTGGAAAAAATCAAAAAGGCTCTACCAACTGACTTAGCCAGGCTGGGCTTCTATCGATTTGTGAAGACACACCGTAAACACACGAGGTGTCCACTGCTTCCCAAAAAGTACGCCTCAGAAATTTATGGGTGACAGCTAAGGGATTCGATCGATTGAATGGCTAATGGTACATAGAGCTCATGATGAGACTGCTTGTTGGTCATATAAACTCCTCACTCTGACACACTTTATCACGTCCAGTCTTCCCGATTTATGCTGATTTTTATGCACAAGAGTAGAATTATTGCGCAATTAATTTGTCGACCGAACCCCTGAAAGAACGGATTAAATCGGAATTCAGGCTCAAACGCCCATTCGATTCAACCGGATGTGTGAGTAAGTATATATGTGTTCCGATTGTATTTACGCTACAAGCGCTGTAAAGAACCGAAAAGATCAGACGTGAAGTCATGTTTCAGCTCAAATACCTTCACTTCATCGCAGCATGATATGGCGCCATCCGTATGCTGGGAAATTGGCTGTTACATGCACTATGTTGATTTTTTTGTAAAGACATTCTTATCGAGCTCATCACGCCATTCTGACTGATTTTTGTGCATTTTCGAGAATGAGTGGACTTCTTCGATGACACCACAATCCATTAAACAAGTTGTGATACACTTGGATGCGTTTCCTCCCGCCAGTAAGTTTGAAATCGATCCTTCTCTTGACCAGTCAGCGTCAATACTTTGAGCCTCAGAAGGCAGTCAATAAAAAGGCCAGATCTTGCTTCTACTTGCAAGTAAACCGTGACTGTGGGGGCCGGTCAAGCATGCAGAGCAGGCTGATCGGCAAACTTCTCTCACTTTCGATCGTATTATGCGCTATTCTATTTAGTTTCTCATCTTCGGCCTCAGTCTTGGTACGCCGAGGCGACTCGTCAACAAATTCGACTCTTGTCCTCCCCTCAACCTCCTCAACCTCCAACTCCACTCTTGAACCTAATTCAACTAGAAGAAGCGTCAACCTCACCGATGAAGTCGATGATTGCCTCAAACGAAAGGTTTCGACACAACTCTGGTTTGACCTAGGAATGAATGATTACATTAAAAATTATCCCCACGGCCAGTCAGTCTCACTCAAGGTTAGTGAAACTTGAGTCACACATCCTATGGACTTCTCGATAAATTAAATGCCATTGATGTACATAGGATTACGCCGATACTGTTGGTGCAACTAATTTCAACTTTCGAATCGGAGGCATATGTCGAGTCGACCAAGTGAGACAACAAGATATTATATCGTCAATCTAAACACAAGCCATATCAAACTCATGACTTTTCGTGTTGACACTTCTCTGTTAGTTGTGTAATGGTGTACGTGGTCAGGATTGGTACGCACTCATTGCCGCCCAAAGGTGGAGCACTCACATGAATCAAGCGTTCCGAGCTGTCGCATTTGCGTCGACTATCGCGATGGGTGAGTAAAAAAAACTTATCGAGAGAATAGAATTTCTTCACAAACATACCAATCTCTAGTTTTACCCCACCCTTTCTGTAGAAATCACACAGTCAATGGTAATATATAGCGCTCGCCAGATTTTTTGCGTGACCACAAACTAATTTATGATGTATGATTCATAAAGGCATTTGATTTCATACCCGCACCTACACACATAATGGAATATATCTCTACCTCAATCTCTGCTGTATTTTGGGTCATATTAGCTTTACCTGGGGTATGGTTTGGACCTGTAGGGAAATACTATTATCGAGCTGTACTTAGCGTATTCTATGCGGTTCGTTCAATTACTAGTCTTCTCTTACGCGCGAGCGCAAAAAAAAAAAAAAGATCAAGTCATGATGGGCTGATGTAATTTTTCTTTGAAGACTACTGGAATTGTTAGACCTATTTCAACTTTTCTTTATCCTACTTCATCAAGAGCTTTTACTCAGGTCAGACCAGGGTTTTTTTTTTCTCTCTTTCTTTCTTCTTCTTCTTCTTCTTGTGGTCCCAAATTAAATTCATTCATCAAAATTGAAACCACTTCGTTTTCAATCTTTTAGTGGTCAGATATAGCTTGGCTTATGACTCGAGTTCAGAGAGACGTTCAACAAACTATGATCAATATTACTGAAACTGTCAAGAAAGCTCCGATTAGCTCAGATGAAGGTCTCTACGGTCTCAATCACGATGGAAATCTTTTTTCGGATCGCCCTATACAAACTGAATCTGAGTATCAGGCTACTTTTGATAAAGCTTTCAGACTTCAAGCTTTAAGTCACTTATGGAGATCAGAAGTGAGTATTCCTTCATCTGATTAAAAAAGAATCTTCCGTCATGAAATTTGATTAGGTTTTTTTTTTTTTTATAGAATTTATTTATTACAAGAGGAAGTGTAGGTTGTTCCTTTGTTGACATCATCTTATGAGGTTTATGTGTTCTGATTTTTTTTTTTTTTTCAAAAAAAAAATACAGGATCCATGTAATGGAGATGGAGAAAACGGTGCCTGGACAGGAAGGGATGTGATATCATATTGTAGTCCAGATGGAATGTAAGAATCATATTCTGATTGTATCTGATCGAAAGAAAAATTCCAGGAATCTGACCCTTGATTTTTTTTTTTTTTTTTTGTCAGTATGATGAATGTGATTCAAGCAAAAGGAAAGCACGCGCGATCTAAAATCTTTGGTGGACATAGAGTTTTAGAAAAGTATAACTTCACTGCTGAATTTCTTACTACTACAGCTTGGGAATGTCAACAAAAGGTTGGTGGTGTGGTGGAACCCACAACTTGGCACAATGCGTGAGTTTGAAAGTAGTCCTTGGAAGTGTTGTTTTTATTAAGAGATACTATCATATTAATGGCGTATTTTCATCTCTCTAGGACAGACACTGAGTTATCTTCATTGTTGAGTAATGAATGTATGTTTACACTTCCAATATGTGATCTTACACAACCCAGTAAGTCAAGCGAGGCTTTTATGTGCCTTGAGATGCTGTAATATGCAAGTCACAACCTTATGCTAATTACTTGCTGATCTTTTCTTAAAGGCATCAAGGCAGAGCGTGATAGAGGTTCAGGAACCGTCGAAGCATGCCGAAAAATCGGAAAGCTTAAAATCTGAACATCTCAGATCAGCTGTTGTCATTCTGGGATTTTGGGTTTTCTTGTAATATGAGTTTGGACGTTGAAGAAGATGTACAAAGATTTCTTGGAGAGAAGGTCCATAGCAAGTTTGGTAGCAAAGCTCTAATTTATTACTTTGTACTAGAATTATGCCCATGTATAATTATTTACCTGTACACATAATTAGCAAAGTTTGTTTTATCTATAATTGAACAGTTCTGTTCTCTCTCATTTTCTGTGGGATTTTGCCTGTGAAAATCTTTAATTGCTTTATGATAATTGCTTTGTAAGGAATTTCTTTCAGCTTGACAGCTAGTATTTTTTGCATGTATCTTGCGTATCTTTTGGTAGCTAAATGAATAGAAATTGAATTCTCTACCTACTGATTGCCACCTTTTGAGACATTGAAAGCTGATGTTATGTACTTGTCAGTAATTTGTGACTACAATTCTCTTGACATGTGTGAACCTGCAAAAATACAGTCAGCGCGCCGAGTGACATTAAACGTAACTCAAAACATGGTGACATGCTTGAAGCAGCTCTATAAATTTGATTTCGAGTCTTGAGTTGATAATTTGTATCCAATACCTCACCACTTCTCAAGCAATATTATCATCATAATCAGATCTCAACCATGCCGGGTGATCCACCCGAACGAGCAAACACTGCGGTCTCGATGATTCCTCGTATGCTGGACTCCTTACGGGCTTTAGCGCTTGCCGAAGAAACCCATGCCGATAGAGCTAAGTTGAAAGGGAAAGTAGCCTGGTTCGGTGACGTAGGTGACTTCGTTAATTAGTCTCTTTATCTTTTCGTAATGACTAGTCTACCTTCCGAAAGCAGGAACTAAACAGCTTTTGATTGACCTCAAAAATTGGCGGCTGACACATATTTCTTGTCACTGGCTATCGCTCAGGTCTTGAGGATTAGAGGCTCAGTAAGAGAGTATTTCACTCTGTTCACAACCATTTGGCGGTTGGGATCGAATTATCAGATCTTCCTAGCTTACCTACGAATGTATCCGTCAGACTGTCCTTGATGTTTGGAAAGCGGTGATAGTCGTAACTGTATGGGCAACTGGTAAGCGCTCAGCGCCGCTGAACATCTGGTCCTAGTAATGTTGTAACTCATCACGAACCAACATATATATTCATCAGTGGTCGCCGTCGCCGATTTTGTCTATGGCAGAGAATTCAACTTATCCAGCTCAGTCGTCCCCCTACTTTCGGTGGTGGTCGGTCTCATGCTGGTGTTTCGCAACACAACGGCGTTTGCGCGGTGAGGGGGAAAACGGTTTGAAAGGTTCAGATACCGCCAGTCTTACTGACACAGTGGATTCTTCCAGGTGGGACGAAGGCAGAAAGTCATTCACGGCTCTGCGATCACTTGTGCGCAACCTCGCTCGAGATTATTGGATATCGGTCGGTGGGCCATGTCCTGGCCAGGATGCAAACGTAGTCAACCTCCCTCAGAATGAAGTTCGTACTAAAGCTAGGTGTCTTCGCCTCATGGTCGCATTTGTCGTAGCCGCTAAGAGGCATGTCAGAGGTCAATATGGCATCGACTATGAAGATTTGAGAGCTTTGCTGCCTCCAGAGTTCTACACTCAAACGGATACACTGGGATTTGGCTATGATGCCGCGGAAGCCGATATGGAGACCGAACAGCAGCCACATGATGCAACCACACCCGAATCACCTCATCAATCTCCAGACCTGGCCTCGAAGCCTGTATCAGCTCCGATCCCGTCCGCTACGAACCCACCTAATCAGGCGGCTTCCTCTGCGATCGTGCCTCGTGCGGGTCGTTCCAAGCCTCGTCTGAGGCAAACTTCAGTCTTTTCTAGCCAGGAGCAAG